GCTTGACTGTCAAAAAAATCCAAATCCATAATCAGATTATATATAGTTTTTCTTTGTTATGTTATAAACCGTAAGAGTCATATAGTTATCATCAGATCTAACACAATATATATATATACAGAATATTTAGAGTTATTGATCAGATCTATAACTTACGGAGCTTGAAGAACTGTCGCTACGGTGAAGCTTCTCAAGAAGACTAGGCTTCTTCTCTTCTTTTACTTCCTCATGTTTAATCTCCGGAGCTGGCTCTGAAATATGAACCTTTTGCTCAAACTCTGAATCGATAGTCCCCTCTGGTTTTGTCTCGACTTTCTTCTTTCCCAAGAAATCGAACAGTCCACGATCTGTAACTTCTGGCGTCGCCGTCGATGACTCCTCCGTCGATACCTTTGGGACCTCGTGCTCATGAACGTTCTTGGTTTCCTCAGCCATAGTTATCGGTAAAAAAGTTTGCTTCGGGTTTATGAGAATATGAAATGATCAAAGTAAATGAGAATTTTTAAGAGACGATGAGGAATTGAGAGATGAGAGAAAGTGCGTTTTATAGTGTGAGGAATTAAAGAGGGGTCCGATCCAACGCGGATTTCACGCTCTATGTTCATTTTTTTTAATTTTTAAAAGATACTTATATTATAGATAAATTGCAAAATGGACCAACTATTTTCTTTATCCTTTTTTATGGACTCTTCTCTTCGTCTGCACGCTAATTAACATTCTCTTTTTTTATTAGATAAGGTTATAAATGTATTAAGAAGATTTTTTAATTAATTGTAAAAATGTTTGCTTACGTACGTGATCGGAAGCCATTTTATGTTTTAGTGGATAATTCTTAGTCATCAAAATATGTTAAAGAAGGATAAGAATGGTTAGGACACAACGGTTTAATATTGTTTTTTTACTACTTTTAAAAAGTTTAGAACTTTTATTTCAAATATATACCATTTTAAAAAAAAAATCGTGATAAATTTGTAAATTAGATGAATCTTAAATCAAGTTTAACCCATAAAAAAAATTTCAATTAAATTTTTTGTCAAAATGAATTTCAGGTATAACGATGTTTTTGCTTGATGGTATATTGATAAACTAAAACAACATTAAATCAGAATTTTGACAACTTGCAAAATGTAAAAATCCATGGAACTAGAAAAAAAAGGAGCTCTCTCCATAATTCATTTACTTGAACTTTTGGGTTTTCTTTATAGATAATCAAAAATATAGGGATGAAACTGCACATCCAATTAAATGGGTTAAAGAAAGAAGAAAGCAGAGTCGTTACTAAACATTTAACTCACCATAGATGAGAAGACACGTGTCAGGCATTAGTGTTAATCGGACGACGGAGGTGAGTAACGGCAAACTAACAGTCAGAAAACGGAAAGACGGATCCAGACAAAGAAAAGGTGACAGAGAGAAAAGTGGAACTAAGCAATAAAACGTTGACACGTGTCATTATAACGTGGGAGTTTGTCCTACCGTGGGACCCAAGATGTGTACTGATTGGTGTAAAAGACGTGATGTCGGTTATCTGGGTCCACTTGGTTTATTGACTTTTGCCACGCTGGAAGAAGCTTGTTGGAGAAGAAATGATGAACCAACTTTGGGTAATTTGTAAGAGCACGATTATATATATAATAAATATGATTGGAATAATATATGAATTTTATAATATTAATATTATTATGATTGATGAATAGTAAAAGAAAGAAGAGAGAGATAAAGAGAAATGTTATATTTATCCATTAAATATGAGTAATATAGATTTTATATTTAGAAATTTAAAAATGGTTTGAGTAAATATAATAATTTTATAATATTAAAAAAATTTTATATTTATTTTTATTTATCACTCATAATCATATCATAACG